GTACTGAATCCCGTGCGCATCATCCTCGGTAAAGAATATAGGATCCTCAGTTCGCGGCCGCTTTGGAGGGTTCTACTCGTCATGTTCTAGATCGCGGGCTAGAGTCTTTCCTACTGTTATGGAACAGCCTGCAACAACCGACCCGCCAGTGATCGTATTGATTATCCCGCGAACTAGTCTCTCTTCAGGCAATTGTCTCTGTTCACTCGACCTGTTGCTGGCCTTTATTATTTCTTTGTACAAAGTTTCTCAGGTACCCGCGACGGATGAGCTCTTCAATCTCGTCGCGGAGGTTTTTACAGTTTTTCGGTGCTATGACCGTGGTCTTTGTGAAAATGACAATATACATTTTTATTTCTATGGGTCGGGTCGCTTCTCAGCCGGGGTGGCCACTTCACAAAGGAAGCGTCCTTTATTGCCATGAGGATTTTCCCTCGCTTCGCATTGAGGGGTGTGAAGCTCGTTCTTTCAACCGGGGGAGCTCGGGGATGGAAATATGACATGTTCCCTCCCCTAGTGGGGGACTTGCTTTTCTTTCTCTTGCCGTCACCATTGTTCGAGCTGTGGTCCTCCCTCTTTCTTTTCTCTACTGGGGATTCAGTTCGCTGGTTCATCTCTTCCTCAGTCCCGATGAACTGATCAACGAGCTTAAGGAACTCCGTGATGTCCTTGGGTTTGTTTGCCACCACATGCCACTTAAATTCTCTGTGAGTGATCCCCTTTTTGGATGCTGCAAGTCTCATGGTTGGGTCTAAGTCCGGGATCAGTAGACAAGTGTTGTTGAAGCGTTTGATGTAGCTTCTGATTGACTCCCCTTCCCTCTTGACTATACTGAGAAAGCTCTCTTGCGACCTCAGACACTTCTTACTGGTGATGAAGTGCGAGGTGAACAACTGTACGAGCTGCGCCCAGCTTTTAACTATCCCGGGCGCAATGTTTCTATACCAAGTGTGGGCTACTCCTTTGAAGGTTGCGGAGAAGGTGACACACATGCAGGCTTCGTCAGCCCCGACGAGATGCATCTGGGACTGAAAGGAATCTACATGGTCATTTGGGTCAAAAGACCCGTCATACTTGTCCAAGGGGGGAACCCTGAAGTTCGTTGGCATCGGGGAGGCCAGGAGATCAGGGGATAGTGGAGAGGGTACGGAAAGGAGGTGAGCAGTTTTTGTGACTCCCGAGCTTACCTCCACTTTACCTTTAGGCTGCTCAGGTCGGATGGGTGCTCTAGTATGCCTCCTTCGCCGTTGCTCGACTGGTTCCACGGCGGTGCTTCTAACCTCCGCACTGTCGGATGGTGCTTTGGTTGGGAGTGACTTGGACTGCCAGCTACTACGGACTGAAACGCCCTGGTTGGAGTCCTTAGCTAGGACTTCAAACCGGTTTCCTGCAAGAGTGCCTTCAGGTCGTAAAGGTCGTGGTGGACTGGTTCTAGTGAGCCGAGTATCTCTCGACTTGCTTACTTGTTGAGAAATGGGAGGGACTTGTCTTTCTCTCCTGCCGCAAGAAGAGGCCTAGGAGGTCTCCTCCCGATCAGGGCGGCCGCTTTGGCGGCGAGGCTTGCTCGGAGTGATTGGACACTGAGGCGGGGTAGGTTGCTGGTTCTGCTGTAGCGGTGGGAACTACTGCTGGTACATGTGATGCAGGACTTGTTGTTGGTACTGCTAGAAATGCTGGACCTGCTGCATTTGGGCTTGAATAGCCCGTACGCAGTATACCAGGTCACTTAGTTGGCTTTGTCCTACTCCCGGGGGAACTACGGACGGTTCAACGGAGGTTGCACCCACTACAGGGGGAAGTGGGGCGTTCACAGGCTCAAATGGTTAAGGCACAGCAGGTGCTGGAATCCCACCCGTGGGAAGCGGTATGGTGAACTAGCCTATACAGACAGTTGGGAGCTGAGGTTGCCCCCAGAGGTGTTTGCTTCTCTGCACTGTCCGGCGTTGCTGGAGGAAGCCATAGGTCTGGTTTTTTGAGTTCGTTAGGTTCTTGGAAAGGGGATAGAAAGGCTTTTTGTAAGAGTTCCCACAGACGGCGCCAATTGATGTGGTGTAATCCGGCTACTCCCTGCTGGGTATGACTTGGCTATCAGCAACGATGAGAACGGGCTCCTGAAAGAGGCGAGCCAGAGATCCCGGGGTGATTCACCCGACGTGGATATTCCGATGGCTAAGTTAGAACACAGTGACAGTAGAGAGCTTGAAGATGATAATAGTGAGAGAGCTTAGAGAGTGAAGATTACACACACAAGAATGATAATAGAACGTACCTTCGCCCTGGGGAGGGCGCGGTCTTTATACACTGTGGCTCAGGTGGGTAGGTGGAACGGTCACTGAATCCCTGCTATGATGGGACCTGTCGTGTGTTAGGTGGTTGAAACGCCGCCAAACGGTAACACTGTCACTTCTCGTCAGAACGTGGAGTTGGTGAACTAATGTTACCGTTATAAAGTACGGTCCTGAAGGGTACAGGGACGGGGGTGTATTCCCCGAGGTTGCCATGCGGAGATCTGAATGGTAGGCGAGCTACCTGTAGGATATCGGGTTGCTTGATAGCGAGCTAATTGATAGCGAGCTTCTCGAGCTCTCGCTTAGGTCTGCCCCTGACATGAATGCCAAAGTGCCCTCGGGCCGAAGTGATCCCATTGCGATCTTGTGCTGAGGTATATTCGTCCCGAAGTGACTTCAGTTCGTGGTACTAGCATACTCGAGCTCGCTTTGTAGCGAGCTGACTTATGCTGAGTTGTCACCTGTGTTGAGTCACGTCCACGTGTCACGTCCACGTGCCGATCTGGTCATGTCGAGTTGTCGCTTACGCAGAGTTACGTCCACGTGTCTCCTTACCAGGAGGTCGGGCCAAATTCTCCTTCATAAAAAATATTGCAAAAATAGGTAAGTTATTTCAAATTTTTCATATATAAAATCTTGTGATTTTTTTGCTTAAGTGCTTGAAAATGTTTAAATCTATGTTGGTCTACATTTCTTATGTTCAAAATCACTTATTTTTTTATTTTTTTTATTTTTGTGTTATGGATAGATCTATGGAAATCTCATGAAGAGATTTGAAAAAAACATAAAATAAAAAAAACTGAAAACATATTTTTTTAATCTTCATATACTTAATATGTTTTAGGTCTATGAATTATCTATCACATCCATAGAGCAACTGAAATATCTTCATCATTTTTTTATATTTTTTATATTTTAGAAATAAAAACAATTAATAATTAATTATATTTTACAATACAAACACAACAAAATTGAAAATATTGTAGATATATGGATGATCTATCATATCCATAGAGAAATTGAAATTTCTTCTTCAATAATTATTTTTTGAATATACTATACAATGTTTATTTTTTACAATTTTTGAAAATAAAAATAAATAGTAATTATTTATATAAGAAATATTTATTAATTATATTTTCACTTAGAATTTATGCCAATGCATGGATGTAGGGTTTTTTAATTAAAACTTAGGAAGTATAATTTATAAGTTATACTTAGTATTTTTTTAATGAAATTATAATTGACTACGATGTATTTATTCATAAACCATTAAAATATATTAATTTAATATATGAACACCTCATTGAAGCCATATATTTAGTGATACTGATGTATTTCTATGTTTTATTGCAGTATTTATAATGTTTCTATGTGTATCTTAACTTTTCTTCGATATACGTGTATCCAAGGTGTATCCCAATACACCTCTTAAAATTGCCTTTTAGATACACTTCACGTTTTCGATACTTTGAACCTTGAATCAACCTCAATAAAATATTATTAAAAATAAAATTTTAACAAAATTCAGAACAAATTTATCAAACAATACTTACCAAAAAATAATACTTGTGATAGATTTAGTCTTAATTAAGAAATGACATATGACTCTAGCTTGATTCCTTACAACAATGCCTATGCATCGCACATCATGACTAGTAATAGTATAAATATAGTCATATAGATTAATGGTGTTCTATGTATTAGATTGGTGGATATAAAAAAGTAGGTGGATTCACAATGAAGATGTTCCCATGCATGGCTGAAAAGGGTTGTGAAAACAATATGAGCACACAAATTTGTAAACACCAAATCTGATTTCAAAAAAAGTGTGATTAAGGGGAAAAACAATATCTTGGGGGTGAGGGAGAAGAACATTATAATGTTGGAGATCGGCTTTAGTGCTCACATCATTCACATAGTACAACTGTACATAAAAATATCTTGGTACTTTGTGTTTTTTTTTTTTCCAAGGGAAGTGAGGACTAAATCTGAATTTTTAATGTTGTTGTTTTCTTTTGGGAAAATTATACTTTAGTATCCTGAATTTTGGGGATAGTGTCAAGTTAGTACCCGAACTTTCAAACATGTCATTGTCATTAACAGAATGTCAGTTATCTGTTGAGAATGTCAAAATTGCCCTTCAAAAGAAGACACTATTCATTATCTTTTACCTTGAGACTGAATCAGTTGAGGTGTTTGAGATTCTATACTAATGAAGTCATTGTCTTCTACCTTTAGATCAGAAACACATTATTGTCTAGTTATTTCTTTGCTTTCAGTTATTGTTTCACTCTACCATATTTCATGTTTTTTTCTCTCTTTTTCTTTGAAGATAACCAGTTCAATCTCAATATAGAAGACAATGAACAATGCCTTTTTTTGAAGGGTGGTTTTGACATTTTTAATAGATAACTGTTGGTTAACAACAGAGAACAATTTGACACTTTTTGAAAATTTAACAACAATGCCTTATTTTGAAGGGTAGTTAATGATAGAGACCAATTTGACACTTTTTGATGTGATACATTTGAAAGTGTGGATGCTAACTTCACACCACCCAAAGTTCAGTGGAATTTTCCCTTTTCTTTTTAGGTCGCAATCCGAATTCGATTTAAATCCGTTGAAAAAGATCCGACAAGATTTGGTCGAACCCGTATACAACCCTAACGGTCTAACGGTTTATGGAGGGAAAAGAGACGACCCCAACTCGTATCCTAGGGTTTATAAATTCTAACGACCTCCACGAACGACCACACTTGCCCACCTTGGCGGGCTCCTTTTTTCTGTCTTGCTTTGCCCGTTTGCCTTCGACTGTTCCAAATTTTCTACGCTGGTCTCTGCGTCTGAAGCTTCTAAATGTCTGACTCCTGACCAATTTCGAGCAAACCGTTCAAAGCTACCATCCACTTATCAGCAGCACTATTGATCGCCTCGGTGTCGGCATCTCATAAGAAGAATGTCTACGCCGATAGGTGATTCCATGTCTTCCCCTGTCGATTCACTAACAATGAGCTTCGGCTTAGTTCCTCCAACAGCTGTTCCTGCAATCCTCGATTGCATTTTAAGTTCTACTAGATTATCTCCGTCCTTGCTTTTCTCCTCACTCCTGGATGCTTTTTCGAATGTTATAAAGGTACTCGTTGATAGTTATTTCCCAATACTTAAGTTCCAGGAATTATTTTTGCGTAGAAGATTTTGAATGTGTACTGAAGTTAAGTTCATGCATATGAAGTGTTCGACCCATTTTCGATATTTTTGGCCAATTTTTGTTGCTCAATTGGAAATGAATTGATGGGAATTGAATCTGGGTTTGTTTGAAAGGACGATTCCAAGGAGGAGCACGAGAAACTGGATTCTGCTTACTCAAGCCGCATAGTGTCCTTTGCGAGTGCACTCTGTCACCTTCTGAAGAAATCCGGTAAGTTGTGGTTCTTGGTCCATTTTGGGAACTGAGTGTTCCGATGTTTCGTACTCTGATTATGAAGTTCTGACGGTAACTTCTAGATGTTCCACGGGGAGAACGTGCAGTAAAATGAGTCTGCCACTTAAGAAGACAGCCCACCTATTATGAATTATCTTCCTTGTTTATTATATTTCATCTATTTTTGATTTACATTTTTTAGTTTCCTACTTCATTCCTCCCCCACTCGTGTCATATGTTTGTCTCCGTCTCCCTCAGTCCCTCCCCCAATTGAGTTTCAACCATACTCATGTTCCTATTTGGATGCTTCACGAAACACGGTTAACACGTTCTCTTAATGTGCACCAGTGGTATTGCATTTGGATGGCTCCCACCTCAGTTTTTTGTACCGCTGGTCATCTGCTAAACAACCTCAGTTTACTTTGTAATGCCCAATTACCCATCCCTTTATTTAGGGGCTGTTTCCTGGTTGAAGTGGCTGAAAATGACTTATCGCGTTATCCTTTTATTTTAGTAGGTAAAGTAATTAAATAATAAGAATTATTATTTAATAACTTATTCACTACAAGACAAAGCAATAAATCTTTCGGTTCAGCTATTTCATCTGTTATCAAACTTCTTTTTACTCCTAAATGTTAAGACTTAGACAACAGGTAAAGTCAACTTTCTCCAATGTTGTCTCTGTCTTAATCTTTGCAGAAACAAGTAGGATTATTCAGAATGTTCTTTCATTGTCTGATATTTATTTTCTGATATGCAGGGACTAATCCTGATTCTCTGCGATCTTTTATATGGAAAGGTTTCTTTCCAGTAATTAAAATATATTCTAATGATTATGAGTTACTTAACCAGGTAGATCCATGCTGTGATGCATATTGAAATTTAGTTTTTTTTTTTTTTTGCTGATCAATTGTTGCTTTGTATACTTTTGTAATTTTATTTACATCTCATTCTAGATTGCAGAATTACTCTTCGCTATTGTGGTTGAAACAAATACCTGGGGGGTCTTGGAAGCAACCTTGGTGCCCATTTGCTTGATGTCTATTGGCCATTCTCTGGGCATGTTACAAAACGAAGACTCAACCATCTTTCAATGGGATATGCAATCAATTATTCTGGAGTCAACTGATAAGCTCAGTTATTTGAATATAGAGAAAGAGTTGCTGCTCTCTCACTTTGGATCGTTGCCATTGCCTGTATCATGCCATATTTTAACTTCACTATTATTTTCTGCTCTAAGAAGTCATCAAGCAGTACACAACACATCAGAACCAGTGGTGGCTAATGGGTGTTGTGCAGGAAATTTTGCTGGAAAATTGCTTTGGCATCTATGTGATATGTCAATCCAAATACTTTTACAATCTTCTGAACACCGCTTCTGTGCGATCCACCTTCTCCTTCCATTTGTTTTCAGGGCATTTGTTTCTCACAGTCATTTTGAAATTGCAGTACATGGGAAGAAGCATGTCCTTTCCAGGTAGAAGTATGCAACTTGATCTAACTACAAATCAGTAAATATTGTTTTAATGATACACATGCCTTAACATTCTCTTTCTACATTGTTGGGTACTATTTAAGCCTTTTTTTTTAATTTTTTTGATAAATGGTATATTGTACCACCAAACTATTATGAGGGTGAGATTCCCTCATAAAAACATATAAAACAAAAGCTAAGTAAGAAGCATCAACAATAATGTTGTCCCAATAATCTTTAAACTGGCTGCTGTGGTCTCATAAAACTGCTTCAGGACCTGAGTCCACAGCATAAGGGGCTTTTCAGCTTTGCCAATTACAGCCTGCACAGGTGCAGCCTTAGCCTAAAAAATTCAGCTGTTTCTTTCCTTCCAGACTGTCCAACAAATAGTAGAAGGCACAGATTTCCTTAGTATCTTCTGACAGAAAAGCCTCAATGTCTCCAAGCAGCTAGGAGGAAAGGCAAGTCAGGGGTACAACCCATTATGCCTGAAAGAGCTTTAAAAGATGGCACCAGATTGCAAATGAAAACTGACAATGAATCAAGTGCCAGTATTATTTAAGTTCTTTAATTTTGATTTTTCAGGGAGTACTTATTTACAAAAATATGGAAGTGCTGCAAAACACTCTTGTCTCTTGGACCTTTAGAGCGAAGGGATGCATATAATGTTTTGTCTCTATATTTGTCTTCCTCACTTCATATGGATGGGTGTGAAGTTTCTGTGTGTAATGGGGAAGATAATTTGGATTTAAAATCTGAAAAGGAGTTTTGGGATGAAATAAAAAGAGGCCTGGTAAGAATTCACTGTTTAGTTTTCTTTTACAGATCCACATTGGTTTACTAATACAGTTGGTAGTTCCAGAGCATAATAAGGGATTCTTAATCTATTTTTGACGTGTACAAGGGATTTGGAATCTTGTAATGTGTTTATTCCTTTTTGTCTTGCTTAGGTTGATAAGGAAGGTTTTGTGAGGAAGCAGTCATTTCACATACTTAAAACAGCATTAAGCAGAAGTGGTGGAAGCCAATGCTGCAGTGGTGTTTCAGAAGCAACTTCATTTGAAAAAAGTTCAACTTCTTGTGGTATGACAAAGAGAGCACAGTGGGCTGAAAAGGAAGCCAAGTCATTGGGCGTGGGGAAAATATACAATTCAGCCAGTCCCTGCTTGAATAGCCAACAGAGATGGGACGCATTCCTACTTCTATATGAAATGCTTGAAGAATATGGGACACACTTAGTTGAAGCAGCTTGGACTCACCAGGTCAGTTATCATTGTCTCTTAACTCTGTAGGAAGCAAACATTACATGATTTCCTTATTTCATGATATACATTCAATTCCTATAGCTATTTTTTTTTGGGATCAAAGATATTCTTTTAATTAAGAAATAATACATCAAGAAAGACTACATACTAAAAGACTTATAAAAAAAGAACACATATTAAAAAGAACAAATGAGGAAAACCTTTGTCTTGATCGCTCCAAATCTAGAATAGATAGAAATACACACAGCTAGCCTTGATTGGTTGACTCCCAGTACATATTTTTTCTGATTACTCCTTCCCTAGCTAATTCATCTGCATGAGTTTTGCTCATCTTTGGAACTGTTTGAAAAGGGTATTCAGACCAAGTCAAAAGACATTTTCACAATGTAATTAATGTATGAGGCTAGACAAGGGGTGAACAGACATTCTATATTTTGGGCTGTCTTGTAACTTTTGTTTTTGATGTTTTATGGTTGTTCTTGGGAGCTAAGATTGTTTAGCCCCCATGCCTGTAACTTTCTCATATTTTTAATATTAATACAATCCACAGTTATTGATAAAAAAATGTAATTAATGTATGAGGGCCCAAGGACCCTGTCGACCTTCTTGCATTCATCTGAATACTATTTGCATTTGAGAGTCTTCTGCCATCATTAAAGCCAAGCCTCTATATGAGGATGCTACATTTCCTCAAGGAAGTGACATATTTTTGGATCAGCAACACACAATATTTTATTAATAAGGAAGAAAGAATACAACAAGAAGTTGTGCGATGGACAACCCTTTTTTTTGATCAGCTGCGATAGACAGCCCATTACAATAGAAAGACCCCACTCTATTACAATTGGACCCAATACATTTATTGTTTATGGACTCTTTGCTTAGCTAAGCCATCCGCCAATCAATTAGCTGATCTTCTTACCCACCTTACTATACTGTTTAGATTCCTTGGCAGCCTTTTGAATCACCTGAATTCATTCCTATATTGTCAAACCATCCCCTCTCCTTTCTTCATCCGCCCAATTACTACTACCTTTGAGTCCCCTTCAAAATCGCCAACCTTGAAAGCCCCATTTCTTTAGCTTTTGTACCCCAAATACTGCAGCCAAGAGCTCTGCGTTGAGTCTCCTTGTTCAATCAGACCTTTGAATCCCCTTCAATCGCCAACCCTGAAAGCCCCATTTCTTTAGCTTTTTGTACCCCAAATACTGCAGCCAAGAGTTCTGCGCCGAGTGTCCTTGTTCAATCAGACCTAAATATAAACCACATATGTTACTGGCCTCATCCCTTAGCACACACCCAATTCCTGACGAACCAAGATTACCCAAGCTATTATCATCAAAGTTCAAATTTATCCAGCCACCAGTTAGGGGTGTTCATACCTTGAGAGATTTTTGTTTCGCTAAGGAGGAACCAGCCATTGTCCCCTAATTCCTCAAAAACTCCTCCATTGTAAAGTCAGAAAAGATAGTCTTCACCCAATGAGCCACTCTTTAAAGTTACTAAATCAATAGTCGCCCCTATACTCTTTTCTTTGTTGCCAAAAGTTCTTGAATTCCTTTCCTCCTAAATAGGCCAAATCACTGCTGCTCCTGTACATCTCCACAGAATTCTATCCCTTCTTGTGTTCCTCAAAAAGGACAGTCTGAACAGTCTATCCAAGCTATCATGGGGATTTCACCTACAACCAAAAAGAGAGCAAAACCATTCCCAAATACAACAAACAAAAGGACATGATATTAAGAGATGAAAAGTAGTCTCACCTTTCAACTTATATAGAATACACCGGTATTGATGTATGGAAAACTTCCCAGCAAAAAGCACTAACCTTTGGGGGGTTAGGAACCCGCCAAACTTCTTTCATGGGAAGGGAAGGAGAAGAAGAAGTGGAAACAAGAGAGGAGAAGAAAGATTTACTCAAAAACAAGAGGCCAAGCAGGTTAGACACTGAAGAAATCTCAAACTCTCTAAAGCTCCTTGATAGACCTATAGAGAACACTGATGTGGACCCCACTGCTGTAGTCCCCATTGTGTTCGTTGTTAGACAGTGCATGCCCTTAGCTCCAATCAGAATGATGTACATTATGACATTTATTGTAAATGAATAAAGTACATATTTGATTCATGTTATTATGGTGTGTTTCTGTGTAATMCCCTTAAACTGGACACATATGAGACTCGTGTTAGTTTAGAATGTTCACAGCCATTGGATAAGTCTGGGGAGATTTATCCTGCTAAGGCCGACACTGATGTGCCGCCAAGTTGGTTGGGGTAGCCTGTCTCAGCTGCCAGGGTGAGACCCGAGGTACATTGCAGTGTAGGTTTAACTTGAAACTTTGAACCAGACCAGAATTCCATTTTTGCCCTTGACCTTGGTGATTAGTGGGCAAAACTGGAATGTTACACCTGACCCCTAGAATCGATTATGATACTTCACTAGGTGTCGGATTGGGCTGTCTTTGATATGCCAATCAGTGAGATCCTTAGAGGGGGTCAAAACCTGGGTATGTTGGGGCAGTCCGAGAATTCATCTAAGTGGGTGATCATAGTAACAGGATCAGCCCCTTTGTCGGACAAAAGGTAATGATCGGGGATGCACTCTCTCTGATGGAAACCAAAGCTGCCGGCAGCCGATTTCAATTGTTGAAATTTGTTTTGCAAAATATATTTATATATATATATATTATGGTTTCAAAATGTTTGCAAAAGGTTTTAATTCTCGGGATCCATGTGAGTGGAGAGTGCAACACTGTTCCTTGCAGCCGAGGGAGAGGTCCTCTCTTGTTGGGCAGTGTTTGATCATTATGGGTTGAGAGGTTAAGTGTAAGACTATTGAGGGTAATACCTGATGGGCTAATCTTGCATCTACCCACAGTCCCTGGGTTTTTATAAGGTGGCTTGGCCTAGGGACCACTTAGTGTAAATGTTGGACCCATTAAGAGCCCATGGTGATGGGCTCAGGGGTTCACTGCCCATAACAGTGAATTCGGCCAGGCCTTGTAACAGAGGCTAGGTTGAACCCATGTGGCTGATGTGTAGATCAATGTTTGGGTTCCACGCCATACAGAAAAACCCAACTGGGCAGTAGTTTGGAAGGTTAATGAGCACATGGACTTAATGGGCCTAAAGCCCAATTCGAATTGGTTTAATTTGATTAGTTAAAGAAGGGGCGGGTTTGGGATTGGATCAGCAGATTGGATAGGGAGTTATCCCTATCCACTCAGAGAGTCTAGATCCAAATAGAGATTTGGATCTGAAAAGCTTCTAATGAGATTAGGAGGGCTGATCTAATCTGCAGATAAGATAAATGACTTATCCTTATCTCTTAAAGAGAACTCTTGATCCAAATACAGATTTGGATTAGGAAACTCCTAATGAGATTAGGAGTTCTCTTTAAGGCTATAAAAGGAGGAGGGGGCGAACCATTCTTCACAACACTCAACCCCAGAGATCAGATCTCAGATCACAGAGAGAGAAGACAACAACAATGAGACTGCGCCATCTTCTCTCTGCGTTCTCCTCCAGTCACCGCCATTGCCAGTTTGATCTCTATTCTTGTAGGAGTGATCAAGAAGCGTTCTTGATATCAGTCTTTGGAGAAAGGCTGATTTGAAGTCGTGCTCACAGCCTCCATCGAATTCTTGCTGAAGGATTCGGTTCTTGGGAAGAACACTGCTGATTCTGCTCCACCCTACACCGTGTCATCTTCAGTGGGAGCAGTCTTTGGAGATTTCTTTGGGTGTGAACACCTTCTTTGGAAGATACCGTTTCTTCGTATCAGGTATCTCCCTCTCCTACCTTTTGTTTCAGATCTGGTTCGGTTCTTGGTTCAAGATTGATCCTTGAAAATGCAGATTTTATAAAACAGGGAATGCGATTCCCAGATGGGAGAGAGAGAAATTTTTGAAATTTCACCCTACCTTCCTGTAGGGTTTGGCCATCCATATGATGGATCTCTCATCCCTTCATTCGTATGGCAGCATTTTTTTTGTTAGTTTTCTTTTTGTTAGTTATGTCAGTGTCAGTTGGTAGTTATTTCAGTTTGTTATTATAGCTTTATTATTAGTTTATTTTCCATGTAGTCAATAACGGCAATTCAGCCATTTTTCAATTAGTCAACATATATAAATATTAAGAGTGGGTTGGCAGATCAACTGATCAACCCTCTCTCTTTTCAAAATCTCTTCGTGTGCTCCTTTTCTCCCTCTCTTCTTCTTCTCTTTTGAAATTTCTTCTTTCTTTTCTTTTGAATTCAAGACTGATTGTAGTCTTGATCGACTACTTGGTATCAGAGCCGACCTAGGAGCTCTTATGTTAGTCTAATTAGATTGACTACATGAGAATTTCCTAGGTTTAGAAGTTTTTCAACAAAGAAGGAGGATCGGTTGATTCTTGGAGGTTACTGGTAGTGTGCGGCTACTACTAAGAAGATTGTAGAAGGCTGGGAGAGTTTCAGTAGTCAGGAAGAATTAGAAAAGGCTTTGGATCCTCAAGATTAGGGTTTTGCATCAGACAGAAGGTGGCGGCCAGAGATTTTCTTTCATAAAGTAAGTTTTTCTTGAGAATAACCTTGGAAAAAATCATCTTGGTATATTCTAAGAGGTGCGGCTGGAAAATCTGTTTTTTTCCTTTAGGGTTTTGAGAGAAAACCCTAAAATTCAGAATTGCTGTTGGTTTCAGATCAGATTTTGAATTGGTTTCATACAGAATTCTGTTCTCTTTGTTCTTTGGAAGACCTAGGCCGGCTGTTATCAGTTGTTTGGGTGCTGTTTTCTATTATAGTAGTTTAAAAGGTTTTTTATTATTAATTCTTGACCAAGAATGGAGTTCAAGAATCAGGGGGAAGGTGTTTTTGGGACTAGCAATTCTGGTAACATGTCTGAGAATGCCTTTCAGATTACAATTGTGAAGTTTGATAGATCAAACTACTTAGAATTGGCTCAATCGGCCATGATGGCCATTGGGGGTAGAGGAAAACTCAACTACTTGTTGGGAGA